GGAGAGGAAAGATGGTCCAGCAGCTAGGAGGAGGGTTTTTTGGAGGGTGGGGGGTCATCAGTGGGCAAGGGAATGGGTGGAGTAAAGAAATGTTTGGGCCCTTACTTTGCTAGAAACTGGAAAGTGGACAGGATCTCTGATAACATTGTTCTACATAAAACTGATTTAAAAAGAATCATCTGGACAAACCTGTAACTCTATACTAGAATTGCTTTTAAGGAGGTCCAATTTTAAGCCTAAACTATTTGATTATGTTCCTTTTACTGCAATTAATGCAATTATAAAAGATGACCGTGCAAAAGGGCTACCAGAAAAGCTGTTAACGGAAAGCCTAAGTCAGAACAAGGTGCTGCCATCTTGGAAATTAAAGTCTTTCAGAAATGGGAGTACTTCATTGACAGGTTAAATACTGCTGACCATCGCTAGAGTGGTGTCCAGCCATTCCTGATGGGGAGTGGCCACAAGGCCTCGGAAGGGAGGAGGAAAATATAAGGGGAAGCTCACCCCCTAAAATGACCAGCTTGGCCTTGAAGATTCTAGGATAATTGTAAAGTACATCCTTTTCCTTGAAAACAAGAGGATTATTTCACATTGTGATGAGAAACCAAAGGTCAGGAACAAAATTCCTCACGACTCGCAAAGAACAAAATACACTGTGTGTTTTTAACTGATGTGCTAGGTTAATGGGGGAAGATCAATTGCAGCAGCTACGGAAAGGGGACTTGTTTGGGCAGAGTGTGAAGCAGAGCCCTGGCAACACGGCAAATGGGCAGAGTATAAAGCCATGGCTTAGAGAACACATGGCTCTTTAACCTTATTCAAAAATAATAGTGCATGTTGTTTTTTTTAACCTTAGCGTTTAGTCTGCCCTCAGTAAAAACAAGATACATGAAAAACGGTGCAGCAGAATAAGCAAACCTCTTTTTCCTGGTTTCTGCATATAAGATTTACAGATACTTAAAATAAACCTATGAAAAACAGACACAGTGTGCTGGAATTTGCTAACTAGTCAGAGCAATTACCTACAGGTTCCAAAACCCAACTGACCTTGACTTTTGGAAATCGACTTGGCACGCTCTTCTTCCTGGTGCTGTTGTAAAGGTGTACATGAAAAGATACTGACCTCTGCCAGAAACCCCAGGAATCCCGGTCAGAGATGAACTTGGGTAATGGTCATGAAGGAATTAAAATAACACAGATGTGGATTAATGTGAAAAAGTAGGCAAAACACTTATTTCTCATTGTGTGGTTTCAGTGTGGCAGAGTCTTTTTAAAATTCTCTGGTGTACCACAGTAATTAAAGGGGTTAAGAACATTAAGTTAACATTACTTAACAAGAAAATAAATGCCTCAGTTGAAAGCCAACAATGTATCCTGTTTGTTTTATTGGAAAAACAAAAATTAATGCAAGTTGCCATGGTAAAATTAGGTTTAAAACCTTTTCAGCAGTAATGATTTTTGTGCTGCTTCAGAGATCACATACTAGTTGATTGTGGATGCCATAATTTCTGTAGAATCAGACTTCTTTATAAGACTGACACTCCCATTTAAAGGTGATCTGGAAAGGGGAAAACAACAGATTGTCCTCCCACTCTCCTCCCCCCCCCCCATCTGAGGAAGGTCTGAAAACTTTTTTAATAAAAGGTGTGTTTGGGGGGGACTACTCCTCCTTGCTTGTTTTTTACTGTAAAAATTCAGGTCTTTTTCTTGGAAGACTCTATGGATGACTGGAGAACTATTAAGCTTCTGCCACGAGAAAAATACGCTGCAAGTAAAACTTGATTGATTGAAATGAGAGATGATTTTTATTAAGACTATGTAAAACTCACTGGTATTATGGGCGATGGGGGTGTTTTTAATTCACGAGAGAAGCTGTCAGATATCCTCCAGTAAAATCAGGAAACCTAAGACTTTGTTCCTAACGTTTTAAAGGGTAAGCAAAAAAAAAAAATTATATAATATAAAAATATATATATCCTTTAAAAAACAAAACCAGGAACTCTCTCTTAGGCTTTCTTTCATACTTCATAAAGAAGTTAAAAATGGCACAAACTTCCAGTGCCACCTTCACACGTGCCCCTCCCCTTCTGCCCCCTATTTGTAGGTTACCACTGATGCTGAAGGGGAGTTTTTTTGTACTGTGTAATGTCCATGTTGTTGAGAGCTTGTCTTCAGCACCATGAAGCCTTCTCTGCACTGGTCAATATAAAGCACTGGAGCATACCTGGATTTGGCAATAAAAGACCAACTTAATGTTAACTTAGCATCTTACTAACAATAACTCAGTTAGAAATATCGCTCATGTGGGTGCATTATAGTTATTAGGTGTGAGAAATACAGTTTTCAAACTGTAATTAATCATTTTTGAATAAACTTCTTTACACATTTATGGCATCAATGGGTATGACCATTTATGTTTTGCCTATAAAAGCTGACCTGTTTTATGTACTCTTTATGGAAACAGTGCAGTCATAAATTAAAAGATGCAACTCTTTTGGATATTTTACTGGTGGTCCTCTATTTTCCTGCCAGAAGTGCAGCTGTTTTGGGTTTCTCAGGATAACACATAAAAAGGCTGTGTGCGCATTGCAAGTTTATGCTTGAATTGCCAAACCAGAGGTGGAATGACTCAACCTTCCCGGGAGCAACATGTACCAAGATGTGATGAATCAAAACAGCTAGTTTAAGCTTAGTGGCTTTCATTACAACTGTGAAAACCAATTCTCAGTTATGGTACTGTATCTGGCTTTTAAAGGTTGAGGCAGCCACTCTGCTGGTGATGTTAAACTGTAACCCTGGGGATTTTATGTGCTTAATTGGATTCTATGTACCAGCTCCTCAGCTGGTATAAATGGGTATCGCTGCACCAAAGTAATTTACACCAGGTGAGGATCTGGCCCTACATCTTTATTATGCAGAGGGCAGGGATTATGAGTTTATGGCACAAAATGAAACATTCAAGCCCCATTTAGCCCCATTCTTCTTCATACAACACTGCCACTTTACTGGTAGTTCTTAGCGGGCAAAATAACCTCAGTGTTGGGCTCCCAAAAAAGGGCTTGGGGAGAGCAGAGAGCTCAAGGACACACAATGAGCGTAGCCTCTTCCAGCTTCAGGTCACTGGTTCAAATTTGGTCTGGATATTTCCAGCCCTGTGTGAAATGAGTTGCTGGTTTCTATCCACTTGCTAATAAGGATTCTGGGGACACCTGTGTCTGATGCAATTTCCCTATCTGTAAAATGGGGAATATACTTAATTCACAGAGGTGCTGTGAGGATTCGTTCACTAATGGGTCTGGTTTTGCAATCACCTTGCACCAGTGTAACTGCTCCAGATGTACATTCTGGGAGCAGAATGCGAAATATTGGTGTCCCCAAACCCACCAGCACCACTGCCATTCTGCTGGCAGTCTAGCACTAACTGGACATAGAACTTCTCAAAGACCCCTTCAGAGCAATGTAGGGGAGCTTGTATTGCCATTGTCCCTCCGTGCTTGTCCTGTGAGTTACTAGGGGACTTTAGACTCAGGTGGTTCCATAGACTTCTATAGAGTCTGATATCTTTCATGTTCTTGACTAAGTGCTTGAATTTAGCTAGATTTTCAAGAGCAGTAATGAAAGCAACTGGGGGGAAAAATGCATAGATACCCACTGCGCCCAGAAAACCTGAAATTTGTGAGCATTTCCACACATGCTGGCCTGTATTATACACCTGTTTCTCCCAACTGGTGTGCCAGCAGGCCTGAACAGGTGTGCTGCTGATTTTTTTGAAAAACTACATGAGAACCAAAAAACCTTCCCTTGTATTTTAATTAGTGTCGGAGGTGGATTGCAGTTTGTACGTTTGCTCTCCAGGCCCCTTGCATGCATAATATTTGCATCACATTCCGTTTCCTAAAGTGAGGTTAAGATAGCAAATTTGAGTCCTGTGGAGTAGGAGCAGGGGAGGAGAAAGGAAGGGGGATTGTCTGTGTGCCTCACTACCCTGCCTCCTCCAGGGGACGGAGCAACCAATCAGAGCTCAATCTCCCTCTCCCCCCCCCCCCCCCCCCCCACCTGCAGCCACCAGCTGGCGGGGGTGTGTGTGGAAGAGCCTCCTGGAGCCACCCCTCCCTAGCTTGGAAGGGGAGCAGGGACTCTGCTACAGCCCCCCAGGGTTGGGAGGGGAGAAGAACCCCAGGAGAAGCAGAGGTGAGATGGGGGGGTGGGGAATGGAACTTGGGGATAGGTGTGAGGTGAGGGAGTTGGGAGGAGTAGAACTGGTACGGGTGGGGGGCAGAATTGGGGTGAGGTGGGGGCTGAGGACGCAACTGATGGTGGCTATGGGGCAGAACTGGTTTGGAGACTGGGGCACAGGATTGATTTGGAGGTTGGAGGACAGAATTCATTGCTGGGCTTGAGATGGGCAGATGTAGGGGTGAGAAATTCTGCTGCAGGGGCCAAAATGCTCCTACCCAATATATTTGGGAGCCTTGTTTGGGATTGGCTCCTGAATATTCATGAGTTCATTTGGAGACAATGTGGTGTGCCTCAAAATAATGAAAGGTATATCAAGGTGTGCTGTGGCAGAGAAAAGGTTGGGAACCACTGTTCTACACACATGGGCAGTTTCTTCCAGCACATCAGGTGCACGGCCTCTGAAATGTGTCCGAGGTCTTTGAACCCTTGTTTTCTGAACTTTACAAGCCATATTGCACATTATCTTGTATTATTTAATCAGTAAAACTTTTAGAAAGCTAGTTTTTATGAGACTATACAAAATACAGGCATATATTTATGTGGTCTGACTCTTTAATAATCTGTGCTTTAAGTATGTTAGAAATCATTCAGGATACTTTGCTTATTGAACAATTATGGGAGAGGCTAAATATATTTGATCACTATAGTTTCTAGTTGGAAAAGTTTTCAGTAGTGGGAACTTTTAAAAAAAACTTCTTGGGGTTCCCACAGTATATATGATGATGGGTTTTGGCCTAAAACGATGTTTCTCTTTGTTTTAGATATCTAAACCATGTCCGAGCCACCTCTCCACAGGATCTTGCTGGGGGCTACACTTCCTCCCTGGCTTGTCACCGAGCCCTACAGGATGCTTTCAGTGGGCTTTTCTGGCATCCCAGCTAGTCTGCATACACCGGCCTGGGAGCAGTGGGCACTGGACTGGAGCAAGGAGCAAGTCAAGCAAACCTCCAGTGAAACTGCTGCCATCTGCACTATCGTTAACCTGCTGTCACCTTTTTCATATATATATAAAATACTTAAGCACAGCTGGCTTTACTAAAGTGTTTTTTTTTTAAGTCTGCACAAGAGCTTTGTAAAGTGGTGGATACATTTTTGCGGAAGGGGAACTCTTTAGTCATGTGGCACTTTGCTGAGAGGGGCTGAAGCAATAAGCCACATCTAATGGAAGATGTGAATAATTCAGCTATGGATGTTTGAGGTTTAAAAAAGAGACTTGTAAATTTTTTAAAATAAAACCAGACTTTTTATTAAATTTTGTGGTTTTACTCTTATTGCAGGGTTTTATTTGCACAAGCATTTAAATGCCATTTTGATTATAACATTGAGTCAATATTCAAACCTATGTTTTTTTTCCCATAAAACTATTTTCTCCAGCCTAGATGAGTGGGTTTGTTTCCTAATGCCCGTAGCGGGAGACAAGAAAACGTGGAGCTGTGCTGACAGCACATTTGATGTCACTCCTCATGTTACCTTTGTCCAGAAAGTGGCAGTAAAGTCCCTGGCTAAGAATCCTTCACCTGTGTTCCTGGAGAATAAGCTTAAATGGAGCATCATTACTAGTTCAAGCGGTTCTAACCGGAGAAGGCTAAAGGAGGCCAAATGATATAGAAAAGAATGCAACAAACCTTTGCTTCATCATTTTGTCATCCCCTTCCCCCCCCCCCCCAGCTCCCTCAACACAGCTCCTTTATTAAGCAGAGCACGTTTTCTGTGATGGTTTAGAACAGTGGTCCCCAAACTGTGGGGCGCACCGCACAGCGGAGCACAGAGGAACATCCGGGGAGCACGGTGGGGCCCGGGAAAGAGTGCCACCCAGTCCTGCCTCCGCCCTGGCCCTTGGAAGGGGGGTGTGTGTGTGAGGAAGGGCGCAGACACGTTCCATTACAGGTAAGAGGGAGGGGGGGCACGAGAGGATGTTTGAGCACCACTATTTTAGAAGTTTCTCAGGGCAGGCACATCCACCTCCAGTCTCCTACTGCTTTCTCATTCCCATAGGCCTGACTATCTGGATACTCTTGCCCCACAGCTTGCTGCTGCCACAAATCTTAGGCTAAGGCTACACCAGCTTAAGTTGACGTAATTTATGTCGCTCAGGGGTGTGAAGTAGCCATCCCCCTGAGCGACATAACTTATGCCGACCTAGTGCTGTCCATACTGGCACTTATGTCAGCAGTAGTACTTCTCCCCTTGCAGGGGCTGGAGCAGGGGTGGGCAATAATTTTTGCAGGGGGGCCACTCCATGGATTTTGGTAAGAGGTCACGGGCTGCACATTTCTACTCTATTAATGGAGGGGAGGCGGGTTCTGGGTGCAGGAGGGATGTCCGGGCTGGTGCAGAGTGTTGGGGTGCAGGAGAAGGGTGGGGGCTCGGGCAGGGGATGGGGGTGCAGGGTCTGGGAAGGAGTTTGGGTGCAGGAGGGGTTCTGACTTGGCGCAGAGGGCTGGGGTGTGGGAGGGGGTGCGAGGTGCAAGTGGCTCTCGGCCGGCGGCGCAGCAGGGCGCTCAGGCAGGCTGCCTTCCTGCCATGGCCCCACGCTGCTCCTGGAAGCTGCGGGACTTCTAGCAGCCCGGAGATCGCGGGGGAGCAGCCAAAGAGCCTGGCGGGCCAGACAGAAATGTTAGACGTATTTTGCCCACCCCTGGGCTGGAGTCAATAAGCCCAGGGGAGAGAGCTCTCCCATCTGCTTAGAGCTGCTCCACTAGCTGCTGCAAGCTCTCTAGTGGAGCCATAGCCTTAGAAACAGTTGCAGAGAGGGTGGGGTCCCAGGCCAGTACATTAACTTCAGGAATGTCCTTTCCCAGGTGTGCAGTGTTGTAGCCATGTCGGTCCCAGGATATCAGAGAGACAAGGTGGGTGAGGTAGTATCTTTTATTGGACTAACTTCTGTTGCTGAGAGACAAACTTTCGAGCTACACAGAGCTCTTCTTCAAGTCTGGGAAAGGTAAGTGTCACAGCTAAATAAAAGATCAGATAGTTTAGCATAAGTAGTTAACACACATTCTAAGGGACCATACAAGGTGAAGTGGCGCATTAAGACCCCTGTAGTCCGAACAAAAAAAGGGGGAGGAGGGAATTAGTGAGTTATGCAACTCCAGTGTGTCTATTCAATCTATGATTTTTAGTGTCTAGCAAAGTTATGAATTTCAGCTCCCAGGCTCATCTTTTGAAAGCGTTGTGCAGGTTTCCTTTGAGGATGAGGATTGATAGGTGAGATGTAGAGTGAGCGCTTTGTGAAAAGTGTTCACCCACAGGCGATGGAGTTTGTCTTTTATAATTTTCCTGTGTGACTTCATTCGAGACTGTAGTGAAAGTCTGATTTCATCTACATAGTTGTTGGGGCATTTAGTGCACTGGATGAGGGCATGTGTAGGATCCATGGATCTTGAAAGATATATTGGGGGGGTGGGGTGTTGATCATTGTAGCAATGGAGATGTCTGCAGGTTTTGCATGTTGTTCTGGCAGGGTCTGGTGCTGCTTTAGTTGGTATCCTGGTCTGTGGGGAGCTTGCTTCTGATGATGAGCTTGAAGAGGCTGGAGGGTTGTTTGAAGGCCAAAAGGTTTCTTTCAGGATAGGTCCCTACTGAGTATGGGTTGTAATTGTTTGCTGATACCCTGCCTGGGTTCCAGTATGGGGTGGTAGGTGACAACTAGGGGTATGCAGTCAGCAGAGATTTTACTTCTGTATTGAATCAGGTAAGTGCATTGACTACATGAAAAAGGAACTAGCCAAGGACAAGATGAGCTGTCTCTATTTTGCTATAGACATGAGTTTCGGCAACTTTTTTTATTTAGGGGAGAGCTAGAGTTAAAACATAATGGTGGCTGAGTATCACTTTAATGAGTACTTTTGTATCATGACTAAATTTGTCTTCTTTTAATAAATTGAGATAAATGAACTTCAGTTCCAAACTTTCCTCTATTAATGCAATCCCTATTTTTGGGGGAGGAGGAAAGGCTAATGCCCTTCAAAGCCCCGGTTGTCTATATGCATTATAGAGTTTAAAGTAACAGATTAAATTGGAGACTGGGGATGAGAACAAAACCACAGAGTGAGGAATATCAGCCTCTGCCAACAGATGGCAGAAGCTAGACAGCAAGCTTAACTAGCAGCAAAGGTTAGCTAGGCTTGACTGTTAGCCTGGTTGGGGAGAAGTGACATGGACCAGTGTTCGAAGGGGAGCATAGGAGATGAAAGCAGTTTTGACTGGGGAATAGAACCAGAGCTTCTAGTATAGGAAGAGATGAAGTAAAGTTTTCAGCTTTATCTTAAAAAGCTGTTAAAAACAAGCTGGTCAGCTTTTTCGAGGGAGAGGAAAGGGGGGTTGGTATCACAAGAAAGTGACAGCCTTGCTCCAGGTAGTGTATAAGGGAGGCACATGAAGCAAGAGAGAACTGGTTGTAGAACAGTTAACATTAAACAGGAGCTTCTGCAGTGGTGGTAGAAAGGCAGCTGGGCAAGTTCCATACTTTTGCACCGTATTCTAGATTGGCTGTACTGTGTACAAGCAGTGATGTGAACGTGTACTTGTTTGAAATCACACAGGATGACATTAGAGAAGCACTTGCTTTGGTTTCCCAGGTAATTCCTTCCACTTGTTGAGTTGTAACGCTTTAGCCGTCTGGTCATAAATGTGAACGCAGTCATGCTAAGAACATGTGCAAATGATGTAGCCCACGAAAGCTTATGCTCTAATAAATTTGTTAGTCTCTAAGGTGCCACAAGTACTCCTGTTCTTTTAACTGGCTATTTTTATATCCCATTTCTAAATATGGGTGCAGAAGCAGTAATTGCAGGTGCAGTTTTGTACTCAGTATTCAGAAAATCTAGCCTTGGATGTGCCTAAATTCAAGTACTTCATTTATATGCAAATATTTATTGTGAACAAAATGAGGCAACAACTTAAACATGAACTGGAAAGGTAAGAGCAATACTCATAGACTTAAAGGTCAGAAGGGACCATTATGGTCATCTAGTCTGACCTCCCGCATGATGCAGGCCACAAAAGCTGACCCACCCACTTTCCCTTAACTCAGCTGTTGAAGTCTCCAGATCGTGATTTAAAGACTTCTAGTCGCAGAGAATCCTCCAGCTTGCGACCCCCGCCCAATGCTGCGGAGGAAGGCGAAAAACCTCCAGGGCCTCTGCCAATCTACCCTGGAGGAAAATTCCTTCCCGACCCCAAATATGGCGATCAGTAGAACCCCGAGTAAGTGCTAAAGATCCTACAGTGTACTGGGTCACTTAAAGTATACAATGTAAATAAGAGGGATTAAATGACTTGCCCAAGATCACCTAGCAAGTGAACTTAACTCTCTGGGGTACAGTGGCTGGAATTTGAAGCTAGACAAATCCAAACTGGAAATAAGGCATACCTTTAACAGAGAGAATAATTAACCACTGGAACAATTCACTAAGGGTTGTGGTGGATTCTCCATCACTGGCAATTTTTAAAACTTGATTGAAAAATTTGATTTTTTTGTAAAGATATGCTCTAGTTTCAAAAGGAATTATTTTGGAGGTATTCTATGGCCTGTTACACAGGAGGTCAGACTAAATGATCACAATGGTCCCTTCTGGCCTTGGGATTTACGAATCCCAGTTCAGTGTCCTAGCCACAAGCTTGCACTGAAGCAAAACTAAATCACTTGTATTGGGTACTAATGGCCACTTAGTAGGCAGCAGCGTCTTTCAAGCTTTAGTAAGTACATAGTTCTCTAAAACCAAGCTAAATCAGTTTGGTGGTGATACCATTTATCATTATAGTGGCACAGGTACGTGTGTTTACTTGTACCTTAGGTCAAATTTTCAAAAAGCTGTCTTGCTTACATAAAAGCTGTTTGTGTGTTCATGCACTCTCCATTCACGCAAATCCAGTACACATAAGCACCAAACCTGTCTGCACGTGAAAGAGCCCAGTTCTGCTTGCACAAACTGCTGGCTAAGCAGCAGTTCTGCAGAAAAGGACCTGGGGATTACAGTGGACAGGAAGCTGGATATAAGTCAGCAGTGTGCCTTTGTTGCCAAGAAGGCTAATGACATATGGGACTGTATTAGTAGAAGCATTGCCAGCAGATCGAGGGAAGTGATTATTCCCCTCTATTCAACACTCGTGAGGCCACACCTGGAGTATTGCGTCCAGTTTTGGTCCCCCCACTACAGAAGGGATGTGGACAAATTGGAGAGAGTCCAGTGGAGGGCAATGAAAATGATTAGGGGGCTGGGGCACATGACTTACGAGGAGAGGCTGAGGGAACTGGGGTTATTTAGTCTGCAGAAGAGAAGAATGAGGGGGGTTCCAAAGAGGATGGAGCTAGGCTGTTCTCAGTGGTGGCAGATGACAGAACAAGGAGCAATGGTCTCAAGTTGCAGTGGGGGAGGTCTAAGTTGGCTATTTGGAAACACTATTTCACTAAGAGGGTGGTGAAACCCTGGAATGGGTTACCTTGGGAGGTGGTGGAATCTCCATCCTTAGAGGTTTTTAAGGCCCAGCTTGACAAAGCCCTGGCTGGGATGATTTAGTTGGTGTTGGTCCTGCTTTGAGCAGGGGATTGGACTAGATCACCTCCTGAGGTCTCTTCCAACCATAATATTCTAGGATTCTAAATACAGATGGCCTTCCCTAACATAACAACTACAGTTCTCCTTATAAAAGTTCTACAAAAATAGAATGGGCCATGTTGTTCAATCTAAAACATTTACAATAAAAATGTCTTGCCATAAACTGCAAATGCCCAAAATAAAGCTACATCTGGAAACCTTCACAATCTTTATGCTATCACACCCTCCCTGGCCATTTTCTCTCTCTCCCCCCCTCCCCCCCCCAGGACAACATACATATGACAGAACTAACACATAACATGAGAAAATAAAAAGTTTAATATTCTCTGCAATAAAAGAAATGATCCTGTCTAGTTACTGATCCTGGAATTAAACAAAAAAAAAATGCACAGGAGCAAGGTGCTCACTAAAAAAAAATTTTGCATTATGACTATTTTCTTGGCGTATGGGGGTAAATCCATTCTGCTTTGTGACTTGAGGGTAGATTTCCCACCTAGCTCTCTTGCACAAAATAACCAAAATCATATTAACTAGTCTTTTAAACTAGTCAATTTTTCTTCAGGGGAGTCTTCATTTGGGCGCAAACGTTTAGAAGCTGGTTCCACAGGACTCTCTGGAACAAAGTTCAGAAAGTAGTACATTAACATTTAGTACATTTCTACACAAAACAGTCTCGACACTAAAACATACACAGGACTTGTGGCACTTCCATAAACAGGGCAAAGAGTCCAGTGTCAAAGCTGTCAGAGGAGGAGGGCGTCAGGGAGGGTGGAAGGTAAGCATGTGATGAGTCAACGCCAATAACCTTACTGGGACTAAAGCCTGACTCTACTGAACTCAATAGGAGTTTCTACGTTTACGTCAAGTTTTCCAATTAAAATTTATAGAACCTGATCCTGCCAATTTAGAGGCTCTGATTCTACAACTGACTTCACAAGGGTCTGCCTGTGTTACTTAGTGCAGGACGGTATCTAAATTAGGACTAACAAATTGGAATTACACCACTAAATGAGACTAGAATCAGCCCCATAGCTCAGAGAGAATTCTAGTTTTAAATCCATCAAATGCAGTCTTTTTTTTTTTTTTCAAGTATAATTTGAGACAAAGTATACAGCTGGAAAACCCTAAAGTTTCCAGCATTGGACTTTAATTTACCTTCATGAGAATACTGCTTCTTGAACAGCACTTCAGCTGGGATCTGGAAACTGATGCACATCATTTCCTTATTTGGTGCAACACTTCTCACCAGATGAGTAGAACAGCGTCCCTCTAAAGAAGTTCCCAGAAAAGCTTCAGCCCCTTCTTGAATGTCTTTGGCTGGACTATCATGTTTTGAGAAGCTGTAACAGTGCACTGTGGGAAGGAGGTCAGTGCTGCATGGCTTTCCGTCTAATAAATGTTTGAAAACATCTAGAAATTCGATAGCCAAAGCTGGCAAATTCATGACTATGTGCAGAGTGTTTTTCCTTTCTTTTGTCAGAAGTGACAGTTCCTTGGTTAGCTCTTCTTTAACTGGCCCCAGAAGAAAATCCCGACCATCCATATTGAAATTTTTTATGTTTTTGTCCACTTTATTTAATTTACAGTTGTGTAGAAGCCATTTGTAGGATTCAGGGTTGAGATCATTTGCAAATACACTGCACTTTTTCTTTGCAGCTGGAATGGCAAAAGGTCCAACCCCGGCAAAGACATCAAATAGAACATCACCTGGCTTTAAAAGTTCAATGATACGGCCATGTTCTGTGCTTAGACGGGAATTCCAATAGACTTTAGAAAAGTCAAATTCATAGGTGATGTTGTTTTCTCTAGTCTGAAAAAAGTCCAAGACATTTGTTTAAACCACCTGTATTTAGATTCCAGACATACATGTATGTTTAAACAATCAATTTATTAAACATTTTACTAAAATGTAATGGGAACATTGATGTTCATGCCACTGATAGGACAAGAGAATTTTGATCTTATATAATAAGCATTCTATTAATCAGAAAACATCTTCAATGCCAACTGGCTTTCCCAGCCCAGCTCTTTCTATAAAAGGGCCATTAAATGGTCCTCTGTGGCCAAATAAGGAATATTTCAGTCAGTCAATCCATGTAGCTGGCATATGTAAAGCACCAGGTGGGGAAAAAAGCAACAACTTAAAATGACCATTTTAAAGAATTAGTCCCTTCAAGGACTTTGTGACTGGCTGATAATTGCTTTATTAGTAGCTGGTTTCAGAAAGATTCCTCAAATCCTCCTCTTTCTAGAATCCACAGTAAATAACAGGATGAAAATGCAAGTATGGCAGTGGTGGATCAAATTCAGCTACTTGGTAGCCAGTTCTACAAACTCTGAAACTGTATTGCACTTGGCCTTCATAGGTGGCATAGTCCTGGTTACCGACCCCCATCAAACAGGAAGTTTGAGATGCCTAAAGTTCTTGGAGTGTACCAATGATTACTGAAGTGAGGTGGTGATATAAAACCCCCTTTACCTTCTGTGACACAAGGACCCCTTGGTGCCAACTGGTAGAGGGCACAAAGGGTACACAGTGTTTTACAGGCATCTTCAAGGTTGGATATATGTATAATAGTTTACCAAAGGCTGATACGGGAGATTTCTACCTCGAGCCAGTAGTCCTCTGGTCACTGTAATCATTGCTAAATGTCTGAATGGATAATATTTGAGTTATGTATCTCTACTGAAAATTATTTTCCTATGGTCTTGAAGTGAAGGCACATCCCAGGAAATGACAAACCTCAAAAATGTTCATTTTAGGTAGGAAGTAACAGACACCTATCTCCCTCTCTGGCCATTTGGGTATTGTATGCCCCATGCAGTATGCCTATTCGCATACTAAGCCAGTTGCAAAGTGAGAGATTGCAAAATGTACAAGAAAGGAAACCTACCAAATGAAACAAACAGCTGGGGTGGGGAGAAGAAGGGGAGGGGGTCGTGTTTATGAATAAAGACAAAGTATTGGGCTGGTATAGTGGAAGGGGGGGAACACAATGAATCCTTCATCTAGGAGGCAAACTGACAGCATACTTCTCTCATGAAAGAAGGGTCACAGCCAGCCTGGCTCTGACAGTGCTGCAAGGATTTTGGGTAAGCAATATTCTACAAGACCTGAGAGTATCTTGTTAAGTCTAGGCTCTGGGATATGTTATTTTATATGTAATCATTTGTTTCCAATACTACCCATTGCTATTACTATGCTTAGTGCAATCAAGTATAAGTTTATTTAACAATCAACATATCTAAGTGCTGTGTGCTAAACAGAGTGGTGATCTGAAATGGTAAGCTGGGGTGTACTGTTCCTTTGGAAGCAGTGACTGTCGATACTGCAAGTGTACAGTGGACCAGGGGCTGGAAAGTCCAGGGAGACACTCTGAGGGCTAGAGGACTGGGGTTTGCCTATTACTAACCTTCAGAGTAACAGTGGGGCCTGCGAGGCCTAGAGGGGAGTGCTTGTCTTGCAGGTGGAGTTGGGGAGCTGACCCCCAGGCAGGCACAGACAAGCATTCCTCACAATATGGGCAGGTGGTAACAAGGTGCCTTACAACGCTGGGTACCTCCAGGAAGCCTCACACCTTCCCCTCTCCGATCTGAATTTTTTGGGGGGCTAGCTTGACAAGTAATCTATGATGAATAATCAAAGAATAACTACCATTTGCATTGCCAATAGACATAATACAAAACTATTTTACACTCTCATACCCACAGTGCAAGAACTCCTGTAGTAGAGAAACATAGCTCAAATATGCTTAATTATGAGCTAATGCCACCTTGCAATCTTGAATGAAATCAGACTGTTGATCTGATTAGAATGTTTTCTATCTGTGTATTTTGCCAGCTCTACATGCCCAAACTATTTAATTATGTTTCGGAGGAAACCTAATTAAAGTTAACCAAAAAAAATTTTAAAAGGAATTGCCAAATTAGTAATTGTTGCCTTAACTCCCGTCTAAGCCTTAACAGCCCAGTTAAATTAATAGTACTTTCTATGTATTGACAATTAGTGCTTTTCACCCAAGGGTCATAAAACATCTACCAAAGTGTTACAAAAGGGGAAAACTAAGGCACAGAATCTCTTGCCTAGGTCACAGTCAGTCAGTGGTAGACACAGGAACAGAATCTAAGTCCTAGCCTTTGCTCCAGGCACTACACTACGCAAAGTGAATCCAAAGCACTTACCTTATTTTCTTGCACCAAATGTATTTAACAATGTAAAAATACTTTGGGTTTTTTTGGAAGGGGAAGGGAACCTAAGTTCTAAATTAGTAACTTTTAGGGCTGTCAAGTGATTAAAAAAATAAATCACAATTAAGCAACATTTATTTATTTAAAATATTTTTGGATGTTTCTACATTTTCAAATATATTGATTTCAATTACACCACAGAGTACAAAGTGTACAGTGCTCACTTTATATTTTATTATTAAATATTTGCACTGTAAAAAACAAGGTAGTATTTTTCAATTCACCCCATACAAGTACTGTAGTGCAATCTCTTTATCGTGAAAGTTGAACTTACAAATGTAGAATTATGTGCATCAATAACTGCATTCAAAAATAAAACAATGTAAAACTTTAGAGCCTACAGGTCTAGTCGGTCCTATTTCTTGTTCAGCCAATTGCTCAGACAAATAAGTTCGTTTACATTTGCAGGAGATAATGCTGCCTGCTTCTTGTTCATGTCACCAGAAAGTGAGAACAGGCATTCACATGGCACTGTTGCAGCCGGCGTCACATGGTATTTACATGCCAGATGCGCTAAAGTTTCTTATGTCCCTTCATGCTTCATCTACCATTCCAGAAGACATGCGTCCATGCTGATGACAGGTTCTGCTAGATAACAATCCAAACCAGTGTGGACCAACGCATGTTCATTTTCATAGTCTGAGTCAGATGCCACCAACAGAAGGTTGATTTTCTTTTTTGGTGGTTCAGGTTATGTAGTTTCCGCATTGGAGTGTTGCTCTTTTAAGACTTCTGAAAGCATGCTCCACACCTCATCCCTCTCAGATTTTGGAAGGCACTTCTGATTCTTAAATCTTAGGTCGAGTGCGGTAGCTATCTTGAGAAATCTCACACTAGTACCTTCTTTGCGTTTTGTCAAATCTGCTGCGAAAGTGTTCTTTAAATGAACATGTGCTGAGTCATCATCCGAGACTATAACAACATGAAATATATGGCAGAATGCGTGTAAAACAGAGCTGGAGACATACAATTCTCCCCCAAGGAGTTCAGTCACAAATTTAATTAAGGTTTTTTTTTAACGAGTGTCATTAATATGGAAGCATGTCCTCTAGAATGGTAGCCGAAGCATGAAGGGGTATAGGGATGTTTAGCATATCTGGCACGTAAATACCTTGCAATGCCGGCTACAAAAGTGCCATGCGAATGCCTGTTCTCACTTTCAGGTGACTTAAACAAAAAGCAGGCAGCATTATCTCCTGTAAATGTAAACGAACTTGTTTGTCTTAGCGACTGGCTGAACAAGAAGTCGGACTGAGTGAACTTGTAGGCTCTAAACTTTTGCATTGTTTTTGTTTTTGAGTGCAGTTACATAACAAAAAATCTCTACATTTGTAAATTGCATTTTCACAATAAAGAGATTGTACTACAGTACTTGGTTGAGATGAACTGAAAAATACTTACTTTATCATTTTTACAATGCAAATTTGTAATAAATAATAAAGTGAGAAGTCTACACTTTGTATTTTGTGTTGCAATTTAAATCAATACATTTGAAAATGCAGAAAAACATTTAATAAATTTCAATTAATATTATATTAACAGTAGGGTTACCATACGTCCAGATTTCCCCGGACATGTCCGGCTTTTTGGTGCTCAAATCCCCGTCCGGGTGGAATTTCCAAAGAGCCGGACATGTTCGGGGAAATAGGGAGGCATAAGCCAGGGTCCGCCCAGCCCCAGCACAATCCGCTGCAGGGCGAGTGAGGAGCAGGGCAGGCAGGGGCATAGAGGCTGCAGGGTGAGTGGGGAGCAGGGGTCACAGGCTGCAGGGGCAGGGGAGTGCAGGGGTAGGGCAGGTGGGTGGTGCAGAGGCTGCAGGGCGAGTGGGGAGCAGGGTTCACAGAGGCTGCAGGGGCAGGGGTGCGCAGGGGCAGGGCAGGCGGGGTGCGCAGAGACTGCAGGGGCGGGGGGGGTGCAGGGGCTGCAGGGCGAGTGGGGAGCAGGGGCAGGGGGGGTGCAGGGGCGGCAGGGCAAGTGGGGAGCAGGGAAGTACTTAGCAACCCCCAACCAAGATCAGAGCAGGAGGGAGGAGGGGGAAATGCAGGGCGCTCAGAGGAGCAGGCAGAGTTGGGGCAGGGACTTTGGGGAAGGGGCGGGGTTGGGGAAGGGGTGGAGTTGGGGCAGGGCCAGGGCCCCCGTGGAGTGTCCTCTTTTTTCAGTGTTGAAATATGGTAACCCTAATTAACAGTGCAATTAAAACTGTGATTAATCACTATTTGAGTTAACTCGTGATTAACTGTGATTAATCACCAGCCCTAGTAACTTTGTAAGAGTCCATTACTTTACCTGACTTTGAATATAGTTTGACTCTCAATAAAACCTAGGCTATACAAGTTCAAATAATGCTTAGCAATATCCTTGTAAAGATCTTGTAAACATGGCTGTGATTTCATTTATGGTAGACTGGGGCACATAGAACACATACAGAACTGCTAAGTACTGAGATACTGGGCCGGGGTGGGATTGGGACAACATTTAAGTTTTATGGTATCTTTCCATCACATCTACTCTTCCACTTCAACTGCATTCTGTGTGTCTGACTAGCTGTGCCAGGAGAAAATAGGAAAAACTGTACCTTTGTTATCATATTGGCCTCTCCAGCTAGCACTTCCATTTGAAAATTTCGATAAGTGTTGTCAATAATATTGATTTTATTTACTGAACAGGTGATTCCTGGATTCTTGTCAATTATAACCTGACCTGCAAGAAAGGGATAAAAATATTCAGCTACTAAGTGTTGATAAATCTTTAAATCCTGTAAAATATATAAGACAGCAATTCTGAGTTGTATTTTAAAAAAGCAAACTACCTATGGAATGACTTACATGTGAAATCATTCAGTGTGCTATAAATTATTTCCACTAGTGCCACTGTCACAGGGAACTCCTAGTGCAAATATTTTACACTGAAAAAAAGAGGGTTAGATTCCCAGTGAAGGCTCTTGTGCTTCAGGGAGAGAGTACTGTCTACTGCAGAGATTCCCAATCTAATATGTGAACTTGATGATCAATCCAGTCACTTCACCATTTAAGGTGATGGTATGTGAACCAATAAAGTTTAGGAGCTGCTGCTCTAGTGGGTAGGTCACTGGTCTGGAACTCAGGAGACCTAGTTCTGCTACTGACCTGCCATGTGACCTTAGGCAAGTCACTTCACCTGTAGTGTTCTGGGGCATTTCAGCACTACTGTAATACACATAATAAATTATCATTATCTACAGGGCCAATTCAACTCCCATATCAACGTGATTCTCCTGGTACCCAGATCAGCTAGTAACATTAGTTCAAAGGGCGGACTAGAGTAGTAAGCTATAGCTGCTATATAAATAAAATGTTAGTTTTGATCTTGGTCTCCCCTGCCATAAAGGAGTTGAGCTTAATGGGCCTAACCTGAAATTTGCTACATGCAAAGGGCCTGACCCCATGCCCAGTGAGGTCAAATGACTACTACTAACTTCAAGTTCGCTATACATAAAAAGGCCTGATCCAGTGCCCTTTAACCTAAGCATTCACTTTTAATAAAAGGCTGTTTAAGGTAAGAAAATTTTAAAACAATGAGGGTTCCCAAAAGGTTTCCCTGTGCAAAATCATCATCTCTAGCTCAGGCACTTGTTAAAATGACTTATCCAATTATACGCTTCTCCCAAAGTTATTTGAGTGTGAAGGTTGTACGTACCAATCAGATGTTTGTAGGGTAGCTGATGATCTCTAAGATTCAAGTGAGCTATATGGCCAATCCTAGTAAATCCAGAGGTGACATCTTGACCTACAGGAAGCACCGCTCGTAAGATTTCCTCAGTCTTGAAATTGTCGTAAGTCAGTTCCAAGTTATACTTGGACACCTGAGGGTCGATATTAAACTGCTTTAATATTTCTTGTTCAGATTCTCCCAGTGAATATTCTGCTGATATTTTATGAGGATCCAACACAACAAGTCTGTCTTCATCTTTTGGATCATCAATCACTCGCTTCAGACCTGGGCGATGCAGTGTTGTATGTTTGAGGGATTTTAACAATTTGTTTATTACTTCTTTTTTCACTTTTAGAACTGGAACAACAATTGTCCTTTTGAAAGCTGCTCTGTCAAGTGTTGTCATTCCACGTACTTCAGGATGAGGTGAATACAGTTCAAGATCAGCTTTATTTTCTAGAATTTCAGGCATTGTAAAGAAACTGTTTCTCTGAACTACCCAAAAAAATCCAGGTACTCTCTCAAAATACTGTACCAGTAGTAACCAAACTTCTGGAAATGATGTATTTGATGCAGCTGTTCTAAAAAGTTTAGTTTTCAGTAGCCTAGCAGAGTATCCATATAATCTCCATAAAATCCTAGAAGGGAAATTATTCCTTAAACATTATGTAATCATTCCATTTAAAAAAAAATACTGCAAGTCACATGGATTTGCAATTCTCACAAAATAAAGTTTGTTTGTATCAAGTAATGCACAACAGTTTTGTATAGTTCATAAATAGAGAATTCTCAACCAATTTTATGTAATGGTGGACAATCACCTCATACCCATACACAAAGGTGAAGTGTACTTGCAATTGATGGGCCTGATGATGCTCCCATTAAGACAAATGTGTTTAGATCTGTTTGCTGTCTCTCTGATAAAGCTGATCAGTGAGCACTGGTAGCCAGACTGCAGTTGCTGGTGGGTGGAACCACGCTGCAGGGACTTAGCTCATTTGTGGGAGGGTAAACTGAACTGGAACAAGAATCTGTCTTTATCTTTGAGTGTTTCCCCTAAGGGCTGCTGCTTTCTGCCTGCTCTACCTCCCCATTCAATATATACAAAATGAGGCTATTATTGGTTTTACAAGAGGAAGAGGTAGAGCTATCCCCTGACACTAGTTCTATCTAGGTTTTCATAGTGCACTCATCACTGTAGTATAGTATCTGAGTGCTGTGTCTCATTGTGTAAGTTTTCCCATGACAGCAGTCAGTTGTTTGGACGTAAGTCTTATTTGTATTGCTCTTAAGTCATGCAGTTGATTTTTTTGGTGGTGGTAAAAAGCCATCCACTCCCTGTGCACCCTCATTTCCTGCTCTGCCCTCATGCAGTTGCTACCACCTTTCCTTTGTGTTTCTATCTTTTTCCTGTGCATCTTTTACCTGGTTGGTTTTGGGTTTTTTTGCCTCCCTTTTCACTCACCAAAGGCTTCTCAGTGTTCAGGCGGGACACACATTGGTGAGTGTATGTGCTCTCACAGCTTAAGTTGAGTATTGTGCAAAATATATAAGCCTAGTCCAGTGGGCTTTGGTGCCTTCGCCTCTGGGGCTAGATACATCCACTGCTAGCATGGCCAGCTGTACAAAGGATTACCATATGGTGGTGGAAGTAGAGGTCTTTCCAATTGTCACCCACAACCACAGAAACGGAAACAGATGTGGGGTCATACAAGTTTTTGTTTCACTCCTTACCTTGTCCCATTCCACTAGACTGCCCCTTTGTAGGAATCCTGACTTAAGTAATGCTCCTGGAAAGCATACTGAGGGTGCCTTATGCCCTGTAGTTACTCAGTTAATATGGCTACCACTCCTCATTGGACGAGTTCAGAATTTCAGTGTGTCTGGATGCTGTTTCCACTTGGAACTCTATTTGGCAACATTATTTTGGGAAGACTTACCTTCTTAAGTTTTTCTGGAAAGACTATTTCCTCTCTAATGGAGTCCTGAATACAATCACTCATGCTTTCTTTAGTCCTCTTCATACAACAAGTAATTCACTCCTAAAAGGCTTGCCTTGAAATTAATCTAAAAGCTGCAAGAGTTGATTGTTTTGTGTTTGTTCCTTGGTATAGAAGGAAGACCATCAGTAATTCCTTAGCTCCATAATCTGCACTTATTGCCACTATGAAAATGGATTCAGTTCAAGGTTCTTCGGATGGTATACTAAGGCCTTTATTTTGCTAGGTTCAAAGTAACTGAAGAATTTTCTGTTGCTAGTCTCCCTCCAAAACAATTGATGTCAGATAGACTGTTCTATCTTGAGGTTGCACTTGAACTGGGTCAGAAGCAGGTTGGTCTTGCTGCAAAGACCCAATCTGCAGCATTCATTCCCTGATTATGTTTTAGGGCATGTCTATATGACAGCTACTGTAGTGCTGACACTTCCTACATCAATGTAAGGTGGTTTTCTTTCAATGTAGCTAATCCATCCCTCCAAGAGGCAGTAATCAGGTCAACGAAACAAATTTTCCAGTGCCCTACCTCGGTCTGCACCAGCAGTTAGGTCAAACCTACCTATAGCCCTGAGCACCACTAGCTAGGTCAATTTAATTTTTAAGTGGACCGTGCCTTACGCTGAACCTTGAAGAGAGACTGACTACATTAGCCTCCCCTTTTTAAATTTGTTTGAGCAGCAGGCTTCCAGACCAGTGGGTCCAGTTTTGTTTTAGAGGAGCAAGATCAGATCAAGTTGGGCCAAAAGACCAACAAATGGATCCCTGAACTTGCTTCCAATGGAAACTTTTTTAAACCACTAAACGTTCCCTTCTGTGTTTGCAGCCTTGTTCCTGTGCCTCTGAACCTGACCTGGGAGCTCAGAGCACAAAGAGAAGAACCGCCCCGTCCTAGTGCACTTTCAGGGGCTGGGCGGAGAGGGGCGCGAACAAACCCCCTGCACGATGAGAAGCAAATGAGCGCTTCAGTGCGGTCACTCTCCAGGTGGCGAACGGCACCGGCGGGGCAGCTGATCTATAAAGACCAGGAACGTCCACCCCGGCGTCTCTCTGCAGCTCGGGCCGCAGCCGGGCACCGGCCAGAACGGGTAACGCCCTGGTCCGGCTCGCTCCTCAGCCAGTGGGACAGGTGGGCAGGGTCCCGTCCCCTGTCGCGGCTCGCCGGTTTCACGGCGCGGCCGCAGCCTCCTGCTCCGAATGGGGCCGGCGCGGGGTCAGCCCCTTCCCCTCAGATACCCAGGGCCTGGCCCTTCCCCCACAGGGGCCCAGTATCCTCCTCACTAACCGACTGCCCGGCCGGGCTGCGAGCCTGGCCCGCCCCTCACCTCATGTCGGGTCCCGCAGCGCGCGTGCCTACCTGGCCTCTCTCCTCAGGCGCATTAAGACGTCATCGGGCGGCGACCGGCGAACGGGCGTGGGGGGGAGGGGAGAGTGACGGCATCAGGGGGCGCCGCCACCTCCTTCCCCCCCCCCCCACCCCCCGGCCGTCTCTAGGGGGAGGCTCCAGTCCGGCCTGAGGCACCGCCCAACTCCCGCCCCTCGAGAGTGGGCTCGGGACGGGGCGGGTCGCTTGGCTCGGCGCACAGGGCACCATGCAGCAGCAGCCGGGACCCGGGAGTATCAACTGTGAGCCGGGCTGGTACCTGTCTGCCCGCGAGCAGGAAGAGGAGCAGGAGTCCACCCCGCTGCTGCCTCCAGCGCCGCTGGGCAATGTGTGTGAGGGGGCCGGGGGCTGGGCGTGAGGGGGTCCCGGGGGGGTCTGTGGCAGGAGCTGAGGGAGCAGAGTTGGGTCTGAGCTGGAGCCGGGGAGGAGGGAGCTGTCAGGCACGTAGGTGTGAGGAGAGGAGGGGGGAGGCTTTTTATCCCCAGGACAAGTCCCGCCTAGGCAGGCTTCCCCACTTGTGCTTTGGGGGGCGACTGGGGATGGGAGGATAGATCATTCTCCATGGGCAATTCAAGCCTTGGCTTTTTTGCTTGATCCTGCCACCCGAGAAAGTAGATTAGGGCCAGTGGTGATGGTGTGGGTTGTTTGTGAAGTGAAACAATTGTTCACTTGCCTGAGATCACCAAACTCGTTTTGGACAACTATTAGATGGTAATGACTATTGGGGTTGGGTTTTACTGGTCTGGGCTGAATTTAAACCAGCAGGGACATGCAGCCCTGATGAGAATGTGGGGAGGTTGGGGTGGGAATTACAGGTCTGTCGCATCTTAACATGCGCGATTTCAGCTTTACGCGGTCGGCAAAAACAAAAAAACAACAACAACAACCAAAGAGAAAAATAACAATTTTAATACTGTACTTGTAGTGCGGGCGATTGCGCCCGCCATTCAACTCAATGTAATTTTGACTATACACAGTTTTCGCTTTACGTGCTAACTGCGGAACGGAACCCCCGCGTAAGATGAGACTCGCCTGAACTGTCTTGGCATTTTTTGGTGCTGCTTGTATCTTATTAGCATTAGTGTGCTTGGTGCCCTAGAAGCAAATGAGGACAGTCTCCACCCCAAGAAGCTGATAGGCTAGTTCAGACAAATGATACATAATGTGGCCATTGAGTAAGAATATTGGAGCATTTGTTTTTGGAAGACTTCATGAAGACTTCATCAATGATTTAGATAATGGCATAGAGAGTACGTTTATAAAGTTTGCGGACGATACCAAGCTGGGAGAGGTTGCAAGTGCTTTCGAGGATAGGATTAAAATTCAAAATGATCTGGACAAACTGCAGAAATGGTTTGAAGTAAATAGGATGAAATTCAATAAGGACACATGCAAAGTACTCCACTTAGGAAGGAACAATCAGTTGCACACATACAAAATGGGAAATGACTGCCTAAGAAGGAATACTGCGGAAAGGAATCTGGGGGTCATAGTGGATCACAAGCTAAATATGAGTCAACAGGATAACACTGTTGCAAAAAAAAGCAAGCATCATTCTGGGAGATATTAGCAAGAGTATTGTAAGCAAGGCACGAGAAGTAATTCTACTACTATAGTCCGCGCTGATTAGGCCTCAACTGGAGTACTGTGTCCAGTTCTGGGTGCCACATTTCAGGAAAGATGTGGACAAATTGGAGACGGTCCACAGAAGAGCAACAAAAAAGATTAAAGGTCTAGAAAACATGACCTGTGAGGGAAGATTGAAAAAATTGGGTTTGTTTAGTCTGAAGAAGAGAATACTGAGAGGGGACATAACAGTTTTCAAGTACATAAAAGAGGAGGGAGAAAAATTGTTCTTAAGCTCTGAGGATAGGACAAGAAGCAATGGGCTTAAATAGCATTAAGGGCGGTTTAGGTTGGACATTAGGAAAAACTTCCTAACTGTCAGAGTGGTTAAGAACTGGAATAAATTCCCTAGGGAGGTTGTGGAATCTCCATCATTGGGGATTTTTAAGATCAGGTTGGACAAACACCTGTCAGGGATGATCTAGATAATACTTAGTCCTGCCTTGAGTGCAGGGGACTGGACTAGATGACCTCTCGAGGTCCCTTCCAGTTCTATGATTCTGTGATTCTATGAAGAAAGTGTATTTTGAGGAGATATTTTAAGGAGAGGAGAAGGTGTTTAGCACATGAAAAAAAGACTCTTATGTTCAAAGGACAGTGTGAACTAATAAAATAATACCTAGAAGGTGGCAGAAAGATGACAAGGATACAAAGTGGGGCTGATAGCAGGGAGATTTGGCCCTACAGAGTGAAGCAGGAAGAAATGAGCATTGATGCAGGCACACAGCATAGTACAGGTCTTTAAAGTGAGGAGAACAGTTTTTCTGAGATGTTTGATCATTTATTTAACTAAGGCCTGGTCTACACTAACCCCCCAATTCGAACTAAGGTACGCAACTTCAGCTACGTGAATAAAGTAGCTGAAGTCGACGTACCTTAGTTCGAGCTTACCGCGGTCCAGACGCGGCAGGCAGGCTCCCCTGTCGACTCCGCGTACTCCTCGCGCCGAGCAGGATTACCAGAATCGACGGCGAGCACTTCTGGGTTCGATTTATCGCGTCCAGACAAGACGCGATAAATCAAACCCAGAAGTTCGATTGCCTGCCGCCGAACCAGCGCGTAAGTATAGACAAGCCCTAAGGCTTGGAAGCATTCAACTCTCCCAAGTGCTGCCGTTTCCTTACCTTTCTCCTCCTCCTCCCCCACTTCATTGGCTATCAAAGTCTTCTTTAACAAAGCTAACCACATTCTAATATAAACCACTCTAGTTTGCAGTAGAAAACTACTGTCTTTGGGGATCATTACTATGCTGTACTATTTATTTTTTAAGTCTGGGTTCTAGAGTTTTATAAGGGTCTGCTGATGGAGAGAGGGAGAAGTTATGTGGCTGAAATTTCTTTGGTCTCTCCAAAACAAACAAACAAACAAAAACACAAAACCCTCATACTAATTGTATTTGTTTATCCTATTTACAGAGAGCTCTGAATCATGCATCTTCAGGTGTTTCCTTTGGTTTCTCAGTATTTAATTTAATGAATGCAATCATGGGAAGTGGAATACTTGGTTTATCTTATGCCATGGCCAACACAGGGATCATTGGATTTAGGTAAGTTTTTAGTTTCACATACATATCCATTCTAAAATGACCTTTACATGTTCTTGAAGTACTGTACATAACTTTCTTTTTTTTTTTTAAGTGGGGAGCAAGATCTGAGCTGAGATTTTTGTATGTAAAAATATTACATTGTACAAGGACTGGGTGGCTTGTATTTTTGGCATTAAGGCTATGGACCCTTTCACTTCTAGGTTATTCATTCATATCTGGCCTGTGGAGGTAGTGACCTGAAGTCTCATTAAATTGGTGGCAATTTGGTACTCAACCCAGTTCCTATGGATAGATGTTTATATCACAAAATCATTATCCCATTTAGTTTTAGAATTGGGCTGTCCAGGATAGGAATGATGCACTTCTGCTGAGCAGTGTGAGGGGAAGCTTGTATTTCTACTCTTCATGCAGTACCTATTCTGTGAATGAACAGAGGACTAACTACCATTGTCAGTCTGACTCCTTCTGTAAGGACTAAGTTCACTTTAATATATATACAGAGACACATGCGGTAGAGTTGCAGTTCCTGGTGGTTATGTTCCAGTTGTGGTTATGAAATGGTTCACGTGCAGTGCTTTTGTCCTACATAAATCTGTGATGACTTATAATCTAGCACATAAAAATGTAAAGTGTAGTGGAACATAGCAAACAGCAGATAAGTCAGTGACCATATGAACTTTGGTCAGCAGATGTGAGCCATAAAATGAGGAAGTCCTGTCTCATTATAACTTCTTTCTTGTGCAATAATAAACCAGTTTTAAAAAGAGAACATGTATTTTACTTTAAGAAATGCCTTAAACTTCAATATTTTATATTTTAGCATCTTGCTGCTGATTGTTGCCAGCCTTGCTTCTTACTCTGTATTTCTGCTGCTTAGTATGTGCATTCAGACTGGTAAGTGAAGAGACTATATAGAGCAATAGTCTATAGTTTGTCTCATCTACAAAGATGTGACCCTGTAAAATTATTTGAATTAGTGGTATATAAATATGATACTGTATATCTCACTGTTGCTGTAATATTTTGAAAATTAAGATTTGTCATTATTTTGTTATAAAACTCATCCATAAGTGTGATTTTGAAACATTGTCATGAAACTTTGACTGAAATTTTTTTTTGCAGTAGATATGATTTTTGAGCTCCTAGAAATTCTGCAAAGATGCATGAAAAAAGGCGAATATTTGATGTAGCTTAGTAAGGACTGTTTTAACACATTCTGGATTCAAGCATTTTATTTATATAAAGCAGCAGCAGGATCTTGGAGTATATATACTCCAAGATCCTGCTGCTGTTGCTTTCTTTGAAGTCATAAGAGCAGCAGCAAGCCCTAAATTAGCATCATTGTGGATACTCGTTCACTTTAATGGATACCTTATCAGGCTTGGTAATTGTATTTGACTGTTATCCATCCTCTTGCTCTTTGTATACCTCTTCTGTCTTAGGGATCATCTGACACTGCTTGATTCTGGTGTGTCTTCTGATTCTAGACCCTTAGTATTAACTTATCATAGTTCATGAATATTTGCTTTGGAATCTTAACTCTCTACAATAGCTGATCAGCTGCCACCTAATGATTTAACTCATGCTTTTTTAAAACTGTTATTGAAACTTTAAGATGCCAGTTCCTTAAATTCTACTACATGGAGGTTTTCTGGTATAACCTGGTCTCTGACTCCATCATCCATCTTGTCATTACCGCCCTATCTGTCTTCCTCACTTTAAGGATGGTTTTCATGGTAGGAGAAAGCTTCCTTTTCTTTCCTTATTGCTTTTGTTTTCCATAGCTAGCTTTGGTCACTCAGCTGACTATTTCCTGATTCTGCTCGGAGGCTGCTGTTCCTGTCTTCATCAGTTGAGTGATCTCCTTTACGCACATTTTTAAAAAAAAAAAAAAAAATCAGTAGCGGTTAGGGATACTTTAATGAAAGATGGCAGTAGCTGCTTGGTGCTTTTGGACTAGTTTATGGCTACCTTTTTCTCTCCAGCCAGTTAGGGTACAAGATTAGAAAGGAATCATTACTGATTACGGATTTTCAAACCTTTGCATTATCTATTGTAGGTTCTTATATGGCCCCCATTACCACAATCTTTTAATGGACAGTATTTATCATTTCTCATAGGAGGTATCCATGCAGTGGATAAGGCACTGGACTGGAAGTCAGGAGACATGGGTTCTATTCCCATTTATGCGATAGACATGCTTTCTGACTTTGGGCAAGATATTTAATCTGTTTTCCCATCTGTAAAATGAGGATAAAAAAACTTTATAGAGTATTCAAAACTATGGATGAAAAGCACTGTATCATATACATCCTAAATGGTGGTGGTATTATGTTGATTTTATTTATTATCTTCATGGACAACACAGTGCAAAGGAAATTACAGGGGCAGGGCAAAGGGGAGAAATGGAAGAAAAGCTATTTTACAATAAAGGAACTTTCCACTTGGTGAAATTTGAGGCTTTAAACCATCTTTATATTCTAGGTCCCTAAGTCATTATCCATAGGAAATATTGCGCTTCTGGGAAGCATTTTTTTTTTTATACAATGTCAGTAAAGTGATTGGATGAATTATTTTCACATGCTTTAGAAGAACACCTTTCCGATTAATAATTACTACCAATTAACTCATTGCCAGGCTAATCTAGGACCAGAAATATTCATTGAATAAAAAATGTATTAAAATTCCTGGATTTAAACTTGCAGGCTTTCATTGATTTTTAGATGGTTGCAGTCAGGTTATATTTAATATAGTTTTGGTCAATGATTCCTGTAAAAACAATGAGATAATTCCAAGTTACAGAACATTGCTGGTCTCTTAGTGGAAACCTGTTAGGGCTGAAAGGTCACAAAGTTGACCTACTATGTCTCTATCTCAATGAAATGTATATTGTTCTTTATACGTGGGGTACTCTTCAAAACAGATCATTACTTATTCTTTAAAAAAATGCATCAGACCAGCATTTGTGAGCAAACCTACAATAATGGGCTAATGTGTGACTGGGGCTGGGAAGGAAGGAATTGCAGTGGTTAATTCTAGAGAATGAGTTGGGGATATACTTTTATGGTATGAAAAGTACCTTGACAATGTTTATAAACTGTCCATTGTGGTGATACTAAGTCATCATGAAAAATGAGTGTAAAAAGAAATGGCAGGCAGCTGCCTGCAGAGAAAGCTTCTATATTAATTCCATTGTAAAGGGAGATAGATATATTAAGTGCAAACATTTTAGTCATAATGTCTTATTGGAGAAGTGCTTCTCATTTTTTAATGACACAAATACTCTGGATTTGTAACAGTGACCGAATCTAATTACTAGTAGCGATCAAATGGCTTAGCAGATCAACATTGCTGTTTACTCCCAGGTTGTGTGTTGAGGTTTGTTCAGTCTTCAGTTATAGCAGGATTGAGCTAATAGCTGGAATTATTTTGCAGGAGTAGAGGGTTAAGGTGATTGATGGGGTTATTGTGAGCTGCTGCTGCTACATTTTTATACGTGAAGTATGCAGCCATCAGTGTTGCTGGTATCGTAACTGTCAATTTCACCTCAGCGGATACAACTGGATTTCCCTTGTGTTGAAGTATGTTTCAGAAATCATATTTTTGCTGAATTATCTTGTCTTTAAACTGGTGGAGTTTATTTTGCTTTTTAAATCAAATTGTTGTACTTTTGAAAAATTGAGAATAAATGCCACACTATTCACAGGACTGAATTTCTAGCATAAATGCAGAGTTACTCCAGGTTTACACTGGCATAACAGAGCAGACTCTGGCCCATTTTGTTTTTGCACAACATATTGATGATGGTACTAGAGAGGAATGTGAAACGCTGAGCTTGCAAAAGGCCTACAAGATTATTAAGTTATCTGTTATTTTATCTATGCTACAGTAATTATTACTGTGTATAACTTTACAGACAAATAACTGTGTCTCTGTCTTGAGTTTAGTCTGAGGCCCTGTGGCGGGTGATGACTCACCAACGTGACGCCGCCTGCTGTCGTCCTGGGAATTAGCTCTTTTTGCAGCCTTGGAGTGCCCTCTGCAGGCCGGTGTCCCTCCCGGACCCCGGTGCCCCTTCTCTCTGGGTTCTGCCCCTGCAGTACCTCGCAGTCTCTCAGGGTCTCCCCTCCCCAGGGAACCCCCTATCCCCACCTCACCTCAGTCTTTGGCTACTGCCAGTCACCAGCTAGCCCCCGTTCACTGGGGCGGACTGCAGTGTAATTGCCACTCATTGGCCAGGAGGGTTTGGACCTGCTGCCTCTGCCTACCGTTGGGCTGCCCCGCTACAACCCCTGTACCTTCTCGGCCTTTCACAAGGTCTGCAGCCTGGGGGTTTCCAGACTGGAGCTCCCCAGCTCCTCTAGCCTTTCCCCAGCCCTCCTCCACTCAGGTACCCTGTTGAGCTCCCAAGCAGTCTAGTCTCTCTACAGCTAGAGAGAGACTCTCTGTCCTTCTGCTGGCCCACAGCCCTCTTATAAGGGCCAGCTGGACCCTGATTAAACTGGCCACAGCTGCGGCTGCTTCCTTAATCAGCCCAGCTTTTCCAGTTGCAGCCGTCTCCAGGGCTGCTTTTAACCCCTGTTTACTGGGGTGGGGCAGCTGCCCCACCACAGGCCCCAATCCTGCAACTTGATTGACGCAGGCTGATGCTTTTTCCCATGTGATATTCCATTGACTTCAGCGGGACTCAGCTCGGGGGTCTGTCCTGGCAGGTCAACTTGCAGGGCTGGGGCCAAAATAAGTTGTGACATGGGAAGAGATGGTAAAGCACATTGCAAGGAGGCTAAGTGAGAGGAAAGAGTATAAGAGTTATAAAAATAAAAACATGTGTTTAAGACTGATTTGCCCTCTAAAATACTTACAGCAGTTTGAATCTCAGTCATGTCCTGCATTAATATAGACTAGAAGAAAGGGGGTGGCATTTTTGAGAATAATTTACAACTTTTTGAAACTCCTTAATTTTCTAGTAACAAATTGTGGACCGACCAATGTTTTGAGATTAATTCTTCCATTCAGAATGATCCCTTTTTAAGTTACCAGCATATATATTGGAAACTTGGATTACTTTTAACATGGTTGCTTAGGTCAGGGGATTACTTTTGAAGGTGGGCCTCAGTGCAGGTTACACTGTATGTAAGGATCTGTAGTGATTGTTCTTAGGGACTAACCCTGCAAAGTACAGTGCACCTTCAGCTCTCCCTGAAATTAGTGGGCGTTGAGGGTGCTCAAAACCTTGCAGAACTGGGCGCTGAGGCTTACATTTCTTGAAAGATTTGTCCACTGTAATACAAAGCTGCCCCTTTTATTCTTTATGAAAATGAAATAAAATAATTTGTTTAATAAATATTGTTCAGAATGGTTTAATCCATGGTATAATCTACAAGAATTCTTAAAGAGAAGGTGATGTGGTATCCATATATTTGTAATCATGTTTAACGTAAAACTACTGTAATATAAATTTCTATAAATCGTTATGTATATGTAGCAATGTATGTTGAAGAAAGTGTTTATATCCTAAAGCTATATTATAAATGAGAATCATAAAATACTGCTTTAGTTTTGTCAGTGTAAAAAAATAAATAAAAAAACACACCCAACTATTCATAACTAAAGTGAATATGAAGTTGGAAATACTTTGTTTTTCTTTTAACAGCTGTCACTTCTTATGAAGATCTTGGTCTCTTTGCATTTGGATCACCTGGGAAGGTAACTTCTGTTTACAGTACCCATGTCTCTTTTATTCTGTACTTTAGTTCTGATAAATATTTTGTTGACTATAATTACATCGTTCCTGTTTAAGAAATAGCTATGTAGTATAATTAGCAAAACCCTAACATTGTACAAGCCCCATGATTTTTGTATATAAATTCCTACTACTCCCCAAAAACAACGAGGAGTCCTTGTGGCACCTTCAATTTCTAGACTGTGCAGGCCAAAAGTTGTCAGCCCTAATATAGGTAGCTTTAATTTATGGTGGCATATTCTGTTTAAACACAAAGACATCTTGAAGGAAAATGTTGTTACTTTCCAGTCCATAGATTAGTTTGATACAGATAGTATTTACTACAGTGTGTTAGTTTTTGCTACCACTTAGTCATCCCAAAACTCCATTTCCAATGTTTTTATGACATTCAAATTCTGCACAATATTACCACATAATCTGTTTACAGATGTCTCTGAATGAGTCACCATGCTGCTTCAACTCTTAGAGAGCTTAGGGGATGTCTACACAGCAAATCCCTTTGCAGCAGTGAGTCTCAGAGCCCAGGTCAGCTGACTCAAGCTTGCAGGTCCTGCTATGCAGGGCTAAAAATAGTAGTGTAGCTGTTCAGGTTTGGGCTAGAGCCCAGGTTCCAAGACCCTCATTGGGTTTCAGAGCCTGAGCCCAAACATCTATACTTAGGGCCCTACCAAATTCATGGTCCATTTTGATCAATTTCACGGCCAGAGGATTTTAAAATTGGTCAGTTTCATGTTTTCAGCTGTTTACATCTGAAATATGGTGTTGTAACCTTGGGGGTCTCAACCCAAAGGGTACCCAGAAGTGGGTCTGGGCCTTGTCCCCCCCCCCCCAATGCAAGGGAAGGACAAGTCTTGTTCCTCTCCGGCCCAGCAGGGACTTACCCCAAAATCAGGCTACAGAATTAGAGAATGTAGAGAGTTCAATACTTTGTCCGGACTCTTGAGGTGTGCAGCAAGGACATTCACACTGTGGACAAAGTCAAAATGTTAAGATCTTTATTAAAATAAACGAGAGTAATTAAAGCTACAAATCACAGGTCCACAAAAAAAGAGTACAGTTCTATAGTTCCTGGTGGTAACATCCCTTTTACAAAAGCTATTTAAACTATCATACTCACCCTTCGTCGGGGATCTGGTAGTGCGACACAGAGGACCACCCTCGTCTCTGGCATGTCCAATGAGTTTGTTGGTCCAGGTTCCTCAATCCCAAAATAGTAGAGATCAGGTTCGAGAGTTGAGTAGCTAAGTTATATTGCAGAAGCTAAGCTGATAGTTATCTTTCTTTAAGTTCTCTTCTGTTAAGCTAAGAGAAGGATTCCTCAACATGGGGGTTTTCCCTCTTATAGGGTCCTGGCACTATCCTGAATATTCCTATCAGTGCCCAACTTTCCATGCCCAAGTCTTATTTCCTCATCCAGATAAATCTTGGGGTGCACTTACTCTACAGACTAGTATATTCTTACATATTAATATCGATTATCTCATTCTCAAAACCATTACCTTTGGCCTGAACTGTTACTTCCATGTTCTTGCGGTATACCTTGTGGTTACCAATATGTCCCAGTATTCTGGTAAACACCTTCAGTTCTCCATTCAGTTCCCCAAAGTCAGAAGGGTAACTGGTAGGCAATTTGTCTATGCCAAAGGTTACAAACACTTATGCTAACTTGCTCTAGCTAATCATACAGGATACAGACCTGTAGGTTCCTTGCATTACAGCCAAATATAATAAAATAATATTTACTGCAATATAAACAATGTATAATATAATCAATCAGACCAATAAAGACAAACAGATTATATAACATAGCAAGCTGACAGGCTAGCCCCATTGGCAACAAATTTTAAGGGCTTCTCTCGTGACTATAAAGGCTAGATATACTTTGGATAAGTTCAGTGCTTTCTGGACTGGTAAACTTTGTTTCCAGCACTGGTCCTACAAACAATCAGAAATTTAAATTTAAAAAATCCCTGATCTAAGAGTAAATTTGTAATATTCTAAAGAGAAAATGAGGTTTAAGGTTCAGAATAAAATATTCATAGTCTCTGATGAGGCTGACACACAGAAGAGATTTGCATGTACTATCTGATTGTCTCTTCAGAGCCAAATGACAGATTCAGTGAAGTTCTAAGAAAATTATTAGAATACACTCATATGCCCTCTGAATGATACAAAAATGAGCGGTCTACAGAGCAGACTTCATTTATAACTACTTTTGTTCTGTCATCTCAAAATGAAAATACAGTATTCTGGTGACGTTTTTTTGCTGTTCTATTACATTTGTTTCCATATTTTATAAACTAGTCATTAAACAGAAGACACCCTTCCTTTCAGTACTAATTATCAGTTCTACGTTTGGTGTAAGATAATCAATATACAATTTGACTGTTAGAGACTGAAGTTTTGTTTTTAGTTTTCCTTACCCTTTCTAAAGAAATCAATTGTTTTATAGGTTATTGTGGGAAGTACGATAATTATTCAGAATATTGGAGGTAAGAAATTTCATAGTGGGGTATGTGTGCTTGGGGCTATTTATAAACATAAAAGGCTATATTTAGGTAAAATTATACCTGTTAGAGAGGCTGACAAAAAGAGGAAATTTAAGGGCAAGGTTTATGAGATCTTGTTATGCCCAAGTGCTACAGTAGGTACACTTTGTCACATCACATGCTCTGTATCCTGCAATTCCTACGCATGACATGATGAATGCAAGCATAAAAGGTTGGCCTTTGAATTTAATTGTTTTAATGGCTTCTATTTACTGAATCATAGAATGTTGTGTACGCTAACTTAATGGTAGTTTTCCTCCATTTTTGGGTAATTCAAGATTTTGTGTTGAGTATACATTCTTCTTCATAATGTGGTCTATTTTTCACACTAATCAGTTTTGTCATCTGCTGTGTAGTCTAGCTATATAGTTCTTTTTTGCCCTTCTTAGTACATTTCCTAATAAAATAACTGTCTTGAAATAAAAATAATCGATGAATAAAGTAAGAGTACTCACAGAAATATTCAGAGTAGATAGAGTCCAAAAGAAGGTAGGTTTAAAAGGTAGAGTTAGAAGAGACTGACTGACTACTGTGGAATGCTCAGTTTTAAACTGGATTCTTGCTCCTGGGTGAAAGCAGGAAATGTGCTGAAAACAAAACGAAAAGATTAGGAAAGAGGACGCAGACAGTCATTTATAATGACTAAGGCCTGGTCCACACTATCCCCCCACTTCGGACTAAGGTACGCAAATTCAGCTACGTTAATAACGTAGCTGAATTCGAAGTACCTTAGTCCGAACTTACCGCGGGTCCAGATGCTGCAGGCAGGCTCCCCCGTCGATGCCGCGTACTCCTCTCGCTGAGCTGGAGTACCGGCGTCGACGGCGAGCACTTCCGGGATCGATTTATCGCGTCTAAACCAGATGCGATAAATCGATCCCAGAACATCGATTGCCTGCCGCCGGACCCTCCGGTAAGTGTAGACGTACCCTAAGAGAAACAGTGTTCCAGTTCTATAAAGAACAAGCAGTGATTAGCAGAGTACCTGGACATATTGCAAAATGGACCTAGAAGTAGACCAAATGACTGCTTTTATGATTGGCCTACCTTTACTAAAATTGCTAGTAATGGAAACTACTTAATTTAAATGGCTATAAAAATCCTGGAATTAATTCCAGACAGGAGCGAACACATTAATTCCAAGGTCTAAAGATTATTTATTCATGCAGGTTTTAGAGGATGTTATGAAGCTATGAACAGATTTTTAAATTTCCTTTCCCATTTGACTGGACCACTAAATAAATGCTATAAGACAAAGAGGGAATACATAGTGAAGGTTCAGGTGACTCTGGGATCTAGTACAAGGCTGTGCGGTCAAAGGAAATTTGAGTCTTATTTCATCCCCATAACAGTTCATAACCTTCTCTGTGTGTCACTTTTAATAAAACTCAGTTTAGTCATGCTAGAGGCCCACGCTGTTGTATGTTGGATATTATCAAACTACTTATTCCATCTTCTGCAATGGACTTCTCTGCCAGAGATCTTGACCTGTTCTGCCAAGAATTTCATTTCTGTTTAATAGGTTAATTCAAGGAGCAGCTTTCGCAACTGGAAAACATTCTTTCAAGTATTTAAAAATGCCTGTCACTTTCCAAATCCTCTGTCTTTTGGTTCTCAGGATTTAAGTGCAAAGATCTTTTGTATAGGAGAGCCATCTTGATTATCACTTCAAAAGTTTTTTTTCTCTTACTTAATTGGCCTCTCAGAGTTGGTAAGACAACTCCCACCTTTTCATGCTCTCTGTATGTGTGTGTATGTATATCTCCTCAATATATGTTTCACTCTATATGCATCCGAAGAAGTGGGTTGTAGCCCACGAAAGCTTATGCTCTAATAAATTTGTTAGTCTCTAAGGTGCCACAAGTACTCCTGTTCTTTTTGCGGATACAGACTAACACGGCTGCTACTCTGAAACCTTTGTATAGGAGAGTGGCACAAGTATTTTCTGCCCTCATATATTTAAGTTCTTTGCAAAGATTAACCCATTTCACAGATAGGGAAAAATCACCTATCCCTAACTGAATCAGTGTAGACCAAAAGCACCCCCCTTTGCATAAAGAGGCACTCTGCCTTGTCTAACTGGAGGTGGGGATGGGGAGTGCAGCTTCCATGGCACTTCCTCCATCTCCTGGTATCCCGTGGATGCCCTGCACAAAAGGAGGGTTGTTTCGGAGATGAGAGAAGTAGAGATTTGTCTGTCGTCCACGTTCCCCTGCTCAGCCTCTAGGTGTACATGTTAAAACAGCTGGGAGCTTTGTTTTCACTCTCAGTGAATCCTCCCTCCCCAGCAACTGCTATTTCTACTGTCTCAAAGGGACTCAGCCAATGGCAGCATGGTTCTTTGGAAGTGTGCTGCCAAAGGAAACGTGGGAGCTAGTGAAGCTGTGTGGTGTCAGGAGCCAACCTTACAGTTGGCTCTCCTAGTATCTAACAGATTCCCAGGATTAGGAGGCCTCTCCCCATCAAAACTCCATCTTCTTGACCCTTGAGAGACAATGAAGGTACAGGAAGTTTTCTTGCCTTTTTGGTCCCCTTCCATGGATTTCTCAGTGAGAGGGGTCAGGCCTTTGGGTTTAGTTTGTCCTGAAGGGATGCCTCTAGACTTATCAATACGGAGTTCTTTATGTTCAGCCCTTTCTTTGGTGTGTCCCCCCACCCTTGTTTCTTTGCATCCAGCAAAGCCATGACCCTTCAATAGTCTTTCAAGCTGTATCGGTGTCTTAAATTTCAGAAAACGACTAGAAATAAAAATGGTCTCCATTTACCTCTTCCATCATCAGAGCTGGGAATATTGTATCAGATGGAATCTCATTACAAAGAAGATTATTGGCACTTTCAAAATGTAGGTTAGGCATTGTTTTTTAATGTGGTATCATTATTTCTAAAAGTAACCAGAATATATGGAAGTGATTTACAATCAGTTGGAGTGGAGACTTTATTTAACTTTTTTTTTTTTTTTAACCATGTTTAAAAGGATGCCTTCAGCATTCTGGGTTTGTTTTTTGTTATTTATTTTTCCATAATCTTTAAAAAACCTTTTTCTCATGGTTATATTTTGTTTAAAAAATCCAAAACAAAAAACATCTTGCAGAGTTGAAAGCAAACTTCTTATTTTTAATAACTTTATTGCACACACCCACTGGGTTTGTTTGTTTATATGGGGATGCTGACTTTACTACTGTGCAAAGAAGCATTGACCAAAGAAAAACGTGCATGGTTTTTACAAACAGGTATAAGAAAAGGAATAGTAACTCAAATTTGGATCAATCAGCCTTTAAAAAAAAAAATCTCCTTAATAGTCATTTTAAAAGTTGAGACGAGACATAAGCAATCGGAAGCCAGGGAATTCAAAGTTAGGGATAGTGCTTGGGATTTGTCACTCTAAAGTTTTTAAACACGATTATTCAATTCTTATACTATGGTTGTGAAGATTAAATCAACATTTAAACTATTTTTCTACATTAAAAAGTCTTGATGGTGCCTGTTGTTTACCCAAGTAGAGCCAATTAAATAGTCGATTTAAGTACCAAAAGCTAGCTGAGGACCTGTACAGAGTAGCGATTAAAATTTGTCAGTTATTTTTAGTTTTGCAAGCTTTAAAAAGCTCCTTAAACTATTAATATTTTTACTCTGTTCATTTTGAAATAGCCACATTTAAATTGCACTTTTTAAAAAAAACAAAACACCACCAAAACTACAGCCTAAAGATTTTTATTTTCCAGCACATTTTTACTTGAGTAATATAAACTTCAAAAATAGAGTGATAAAAACAATGGAAATACTTACCAAGCTGTCTTTAATGAATATCTATAATATAGCAACACATTCATGTTGCTATATTATAGATATTCATTAATGAGCTAACACTGGTAGGTTGAGTGGGAGGATTCAGGCTAATCTGGTATCCTCCCTGATTCCCTTAGTCAGCATTTTGTGACTTGCAATGGCCCAGTTCTGCAGGTCTTTACTCATACTAGTAATAGTTACTCACTCAAAGTGTCCCACTGACTTCAATGGGATTATTCACATAAATGTTACTTAGTATGAGAAGGGGTTGCAGAATTAAGCCATAGATAGGAAGTTGCATGATGCCAGATCATCATGTTATCCCATCCACGTCCTTTACTGTTTCACTTCCCACCTCCTTCTGAGATCCATGCATGGAATGATCCTCTAGGTGTACATCCCAGGTCTGCCATGCTGAAAGTGGGGAGGAGGGCTGTGGCCTATTCCATCTACACGCATCCCAGCTGAAGGGCTCTCCATGCAGTTCTCAGTCTGCATGTGTAGAGGGGAGAGGGAAAAAATAATTTTGTCCTAGGGAAGATACTCAGTTACCACAGCACCAGGTGGTATTCACTTATTTACATAACAGGGTGGATTGATTTAAAGCACTGATTTTGATTTAAATCAGCAAGCAGGAAATCTTGATTTACATAATTGATTTTAATTTTGTCCTGCATTTATACTTTTTAGTTGTTTTGAAAAAGAATGGTTCATTCTCATCGGTTAGTATGTGTCACGGAATAACACTGGCCTTTTAAGAGGAGCAGGGCCGGTACCTGTGCTGCCTCCGCTCACTTCAGTTGAGCTTAACAGAGGTTATCTGAGCCCTAGAGAAGAAAGAGAGCCAGTGAGGGTTGCCTTAGAACACAGACGTGAGTCAGTTGGGAGAGGGGCAGATGAGAGGTGCCAGAGCTAGGAGACTGACTGTGGTTCCTGGGAGAAGGCTGAAGGCAAGGAGAGCAGCAAGAGGGGTTCTTCTTCGAGTGCTTGCTCATATCCATTCCAGTTAGGTGTGTGCGCGCCGCGTGCACGATCGTCGGAAGATTTTTACCCTAGCAACACCCGGTGGGTCGGCTGTGGAGCCCCCTGGAGTGGCGCCGTTATGGCGCTGGATATATACCCCAGCCGACCCAGCGCCCCCTCAGTTCCTTCTTACC